CCCCCCCGCGCATTGTCCGCGCGCTTGTCGAGCTGCCATCTCCGGCGGCCCCGCCTGCGCCCGTGACTGCCCGCGCTGTGGTAGCCGTTCACCCCACGTTTCCTCCTCGGCACGCGTGCGCGCTCACCTGCGTGTACTCGGTGTTTCTCCGTGCGCTGTAGCACGCCCTCGGCGTGGGCTGGTCGTGGCGGCCCTCCATCGTCCCGTTCGGCGCGCGCTTCGACAGGAGGTTAACTTTTCTGGCGGCGGCCGCGTGCCGAGCGCTCTTGATGTGTCTGGTCCTACTTCCGGCCGTCATCCCACTGCGCTGCGCGCTGGTTGGCTCTCTCCCCGGCGTCTTGCCCCCTCGTACTTATGCGCTGTTCTTCACCGCGGGCACACGTGTCTCTGCTTTGCCGCGCAGCGTCTCGCAGCGCATGGCGCGGTCCCGCGCTCCTCGGCTCACCAATCACCCCACCCCCACGCCCGTGCGTGTTCGCCTGCTTCTTTCCCCTTCTGACTGGCTCTCTCCTCTCGCTTCTGCGCGGCCGGCTGCTCTCTCCCCCTCTTTCTGTTATTTTCCTTTTCTCTGTCTGCTTTCGTTCGTGGTGCGTGCTCTCTTCTATTCGCGTTTTTCGTTCGGACCGCCCTCTCTCTGCTCCTCCACTTCCACTTCGCGCTCTCTCTCTCTCTCTCTTCTCTCTCTCTCTCCCTCTCTTCTCTCTCTCTCTCTCTTCCTTTTTCACTCTCCGTCTCTCACTCTGTCTGTCTGTCGTGTCTGTCTGGTGCCTCATCTGTCTGTCTGTGTGTCCGTTCGTCGTCGTCCGTCCGTCTCGTTCTCGCTGCTCGCTCTGCTCGCTCTTCTTCTGACTCTCCTCGTCTCCTCTCTCTCTCCTCTCTCGGTGCTCTTCTCTCTCTCTCTTCTCGTCTCTCTCTCTCTCCTGCTCTCTGCTCTGCTTCTTCTTCTCTCTCTCTTCTCTCTTCTCCTCTCTCTGCTCTTCTCGTCTCTCTGCTCTCTCTTCTGGCTCGTCTCTCTCTGCTCTTTCTCTCTCTCTTCTGCTCTCTTGTCTGCTCTCTCGCTTCTCTGCTCTGCTCTCTCTCTCTCTCTCTCTCTCTGCTCTCTCTTCTTCTCTCTGCTCTCTGCTCTCGCTGCGTCTCTCTCTCTCTCTCTTCTTCGTGCTCTCTCTCTCTCCCTCTCTCTCTCTCTCTCTCTCTTCTTCTCTCGTCTCTCTTCTCTTCTCTTCTCTCCTGCTCTCTCTCGCGTTGCTGCTCTCTCTCTCTCTCTCTCTCCTCTCTCTCCTCTCAGTCTCTCTTTCTTCTCTCTGCTCTGCTCTCTGCTGTTCTGCTGCTCTGCTTCTCTCTCTCTCTCTCTCGGTGCTCTCTGGCTCTCTCTCGTCACTCTCATCTCTCTCGTCGTGCTTCTCTCTTCTCCGTCTTCTCTCTCTCTCTCTCTCTCTCTCTCTCTGCGTCTCTCTGCTCTCTCTCATTCACATAAACACACTCACGGCTGCCGCGTTCACAACGCATTCATCATGGCGCGCCACATTACTCCTCCATCTCGCCGCTCTCTCTTCCGCTCCACACACTACACACATCCTCTCATTTCACACTCACACAGCATTCACAGCATCACAGCACACACACACACACACACACCACAAGCCACACACACGCGCGGCGGCGGGCGCGCTGCTTCGCGCGACGCATATGCGCGTCACACAGGGCTTCGCATCGCATGCGGCAGCACGTTGCGCAGCACTTACAACAACAACAAAGCACGTGCACTCGCACTCACACACAGCCCAAACCAAGCGGCAACCGCACGACTTGCGCACGCATGGTGAGCAGCGCTTACATAGAATTACGCACACACACACACACACACATCGCAGCAGTCGGCTTTACTACACACGGACTACGCGCTCTTCCATCCTCTTACGTACTCTCCCCTGCTAAGCATTAACGACTTTGTCGACTTTCCACACATTCGAGTGCGCGGTAAGACGCACGCATCAAGATGGGATCGGTGCCCGTGGTCTGCTGGCTTCCACTGCGCCGATAACAGCAACCGCCTCCTAACGTTAGTAGCTGCGTACGATTATTAGAGAGCCGGGCGCTTGACGCACGCATACGGTGCACGGCCGGGTAGGTTAGGAGCTGTGTCCACGAGATTGTGGCGTGCACATACCGGGTGTGGGGCCAGTGTGGAATTGAGATGAGTAAAACGATGAATCAAGTGAGAACGAATGCCGCTTCCGTCGATGGGCCGCCAACCGATGACAACGACATTGATCGATGCGATCTTATTCGATTGTTGTTTGTTTGAAAGGACCAGTATAACAGCCAGAGGCATCATTGTCAGAAACAAAACTGGTCTTAACATTAGTCTTAATATTAACTTTTTCTCTTAGACTGTTGACAGAAACGCTGCGAAGTTACCCGAATGAAAAATCGTAGCAGATTTCCTCGTAACAATACGAAACAAAGTGATGTCGACGGTCTACAAGAAGATATTAGTGTTAAGATTAACGTTAAGATTAATTTTGTTTCTGATAACGGGCTCCAGATAGATAGAAAGAGAGATTATGAGCACGATACTCCGCTACTGCTAACGTTCTAATGCCTGCTAGATTTCCTTCCCCCACGCCCTGCGTATGAACTCAAAATAATATGGTGATCGAAAACCGGGAAATAAATTCGACGAATAACAATGGCGGCGTGTTTATCTGCCATCAAACTTCCCACTCGCTAACTATTTATTACGCTATACGCGTGACGAACGAATAACGCGATTATAGAACCTTTTAATATTACTCATCGTAAACTCTCGCATCTATTCATTGGAATAGAATAAATTACAGCTAATAACATGGTAATCGCTATACTACACCTGACTCGCATATTTTAAACACGAGAGTTTATAACGATAGATTATTACCGCGTACACACACAATGCGCATTCGACATGTGCAGAACGTCTAGTGCATAATTTGCAAGCAATAACATAGCATAACAATAACTAGTGTATAACATAGCATGTAATTTATGCGCCACGATGTAATTAATATATTTCTTTTTGCGCGCACACTACTACCGTCTATTCGCCGTGTTGTCAACAAGACATTTATCTAATCTCGAAGGCTCCCATGTTTGCTTCCTGGCGAATTAAACTTGAGATTTCGGTCACACGCGCATGCATGCATTTGTAATGTTGCGTGAATCATCATCGCCTAATTCTGTTCTTCGCCTGACTCTTCTATTGCGCACAAGGCGACCTGTCTATGCTGCAGGAGACTAGGCTGCACTATGCCAGCCGTGGATGCAGAGTGCGGGGCCGTACTGGGAGTGAGGGGCGGGGCGGTACAGCGTGTGGGGGGTGCAGTGGGTATAGGTGCATGTGGGTATATGTGTGTGTGTGTGTGTGTGTGTGTGTGCGTGCGTGTGTGCAGTGCAGATGCTGTTATAGTAGGTGCTTGCAGTGCGGTTTGCTACAACAGGCGTCCGCTCGAAAGTCCCTCGGTGGGGGGATGGGGTTAAATCAGGCGTGTGCTGGCGAGGGTAGGGGAATGGGTTTACATTAGACAGCCGCTGTGTAGGGGAGGTGGAGGTGGTTACATCAGACGCGCGACTGGAAGGGGAAAGGAAGCAGGTTACATCAGAGAACGTACCCCTGGGAGTGTGGTTACACAGCGGGGAATGCACGTGCGAGTCGCTCCTGCGCTAAAATGCGTTTTTGCCGACAATTTGCGCTAAACAGGTGAAGGCCGCCCGAACGCTGTCTACGTCATATAGCACCTTGCACAGTGCGTCACTCACTGCTAGATTCTCAGTCCCAGCCACTGGCCCACACTCGCATCGCCTCGCGCCTCCGTCGCACGCGTGGACGTATACCCAGGCACGATGGCGCAGCGAGGCGACTATTGAACCTATAGAGTACCTTCGTCTAAAGCCCCGTCGCGAACGCCCCCTATGTGCCGTTGGATAAATGCGCGTAGCGGCGCACCAGCTGTGCTTTGGTGCCGCGCGCTGTCGTATGCCCTTAGTAGCGACGTCTGAGGCAATCGGCAGTGACGTTGGGCGGCCCCAGTGTTCTTGTTTTCGGTACAATACCATCGGTCCGGATAAACCTCTCTCAATAGGGGAGTTCTCGTTTCCTTCCCCCCCAACCCCCACCACCACCACCCCGCGCGATAGGCCTGTTTATACGCGCTCTTCAAACGGATAAATAGCGCGAAATGCATTCGGATTATTGCCTGGATATCATTATGGTCCGTGAAAACAAGTTTAACACAAATGCCTTCGCCCCGCGGCCGGTCGCTGTATAATTTATGTGACGTGGCTATTGTGGCTGGCTGCGATCGGACAATGCAATGCAAGATGTGAATTTTCAAGCGCAGATACTCGCGCATGGTGACCTATTGTAGCTTCGTCGACGTGACCGGTCCGTTGCGGTAAACAGATGAAATATATGCGCTCGTGACCTGTGTCGTTCTCCTGCGACCGCCATGCTAAGTGCAATACGGGTATACGTACGCCACACTGAGAGGCGACGCTTGCCGATGGGAAAGGTGAAGATGCAAATTAGTATAGCGAAAAATGCTAACGCGTAAAATGCGAAATGCTAAAAACCTATAGAGTAACGATCGAGTGGGAAGGCGAAAAAGAAAAACGCGAAAGTTGAATGAATGCAAACGACAGATAGCATCTCACTCGTAACTGTGCTAAAATAACGAAAACTCATGTATTTCACCATCATTACCGTGTAGGTAACACACGCACGCACGCACGCACGCACGCACGCACGCACGTATGAGCGCGCGCACACACGCATTAAGAACGCTTGAGAATAATATTATTCTCAAGAAGAGTTATATGTTGTAAATATATAGATTATGCGTTACAAACATCCACTTTTCGTCTTAAGCGTCCTTGCCATCGACATATCGAATGACACCCCCCCCCCTGTTTCGATCGAACCGAAATGAAATCATATAGAAGCTTTCCCTTCTTCTATGTTGCAGGTTTCGCCAGTGCTTGCGTAACAGTATGTCGACGATGGCACACCTGGTGGGCGTCTTATACTTCAACTACGCCCAGCCGGACTGTTTCATTCTGAAGCCGGAGAGCCAGTGCGTGCAAGGATGGTGGACGTGCCAGAAATACGACACGGTGATGGTCGGCAAGAAACAGCAGAACAGCGCTTACGAAAGGCTTTAGATGAATCCCTGCGACAATGCAGTAGGATGCTGTCGTCGGCCGAGGTCCGAAGCATCACCTTGGGCCTGGCGCAGACCTGCGACATTTTTTTATGCAACTCGACAGCTAGAATCGCTGTAAAAATGGCTGTGAAATCGCTATGTCTGCGGGAACGTGCAACTGCAACCCGTAGCGATTTTGGTCGCTTGCGACGAGTTGGTCGCTTGGACATCAAACCGTTTTGATTTTGAGCGACTCGTCACTCCCAATCGCTCCCAAATTGTTCTAGAATTGCTTCGAAATCGCATGTGTGCGCACACGCGGTGACACATCGACCGATCGCTTGCGGTTGCAGGTTGCAGAGACGAGCAACCAAAAATCGCAGGTCTGCGCTAGGCTTTATACGAGCCAGGCGTCGTCAGTTGTGAATACTCGCGCAGTTTTTTGACGCATTTTTCGTGGGGATCGTAGAAGCGGTTAGCATAAGTCAATTCAGCAACGTCGGATCGCGAATCTTTAGTTATCTAAATGATGCTTAGCGTTATTCGCATTATACGTGAAGAATTTGCACTGTTCACAACAACTTTTACATTAAACCAACAGGATTTTTCGCCGAATCGCGACGTGACCCCGAACTTATACGCGTATCGCTGACATCATTCTGACGTCACGCATCTTAACTGATTTCCCGGTGAAATTGCTGCAGTGGTGCGTGGCTATCTTGCCAAGTAATCCCAGATAAATATCACGCTTCAACGAGCGTCCGGTGTCTGTCAAGTCGGTGGCGATGTTACATAATATTATTAGGTATATAGAGGATTTTGACGTTGTATTAATTTAACAAATTCTACCCATGGCCGGCTCTTTGTTTACCATATTATTATTTTACCATTTTTGTTACGTCTCTACCATATTCGTTAATATTCTATTTCTAATCGCTGTCTATCTCCATCTTACGATCGTTTTCTATCTCCCTAATAATCTCTGCGTCCAATCTTCAAACAAACGGATATAGGTTATTAGCATGTAAACAACGAAGCAACTGTCGGTTTGTTCTCAGTTGTATGCCAGCAAACGTTACCTTAGGTTCTGATGACGAATAATAGAATAGATAGAACTGTCGGTCAGCAATTATGTAGTGACCAATTGAATGGCAATCGTTGAGTGAGATCAGTACGTAGTTGAAATCCTGTAATATTATATACGATTGTGAGAAGTATATAGACGCATAAAAATTGAAAATATGTGCTTCGTGCATGTGATCTTGCGTGTTTTTTGTGTGCGTGCGCGTATGCCGATTGTGTACGTATGTGTACGAATATGGCCGAATGCGTACGAATATGTACGAATATGGCCGAATGTGTACGAATGTACCACTACTGTTGTACGTCCGTAACAGCGAAGGCAAGAACTTAATCAAGACAATGAAGTCGATAAACCGCGTATATACATGTGCCGCCATGACGGCAATATTCGGCGATTGCTGGAGACCGAATTCGTCGAGTAACTGCGATAAGCGTGAGAACGACCGACTGCAGAGCAAGCTTGAATAGCTTCTTTGTACCGATGTCAGGCGATCTGTGGTTTTAGGCCAAGGTAAGCCATAAATTACACAGCGATGATAAATAGATAACAGGTTCCTTCACATCTACGCAAAATGTAGTTTCTTTGCGCAAACAACAAGGTAACCCTTGCGCCGACGCGAGGCCTCGGGGTTGACTCACAACGCCGACTGAACGAAAACAAGCGATTTTACACTATCGCGTCACTACAGACTAGCCGACCGAGGGCTGTCTGGACCAGCTATAGCGATTGCATTCGATTTAGATTAGATGCGTTGGATTTTTGTTGTGCAAAATTGGGTTCTTGCCCACCGAGCCGAAATAATTCAATTAACGTAGCGTAGCATATGCTAATATATATAATATACGTAAACATAAATACATACACATATACATACATAAAACGCATACATACACACACACACATACACATACAATATGTGTACATATAATATGTGTATGTATGCGTTTTATTCCAGCGTAATATACATAAACGTAATATAGTGTATAAACAGCATGTTATTCCAGCGTTTTTGGCTGACGCACGTGCGTGTAACACATGACCATAGGTCATTCATTACCTTCAACCACCTCCACAGCCACCTCCACGCAGGATTATAAATGCAAAAAAACTTAACCGGCAATTAAATAATAAGGACACACTTAAGGAAACACAATACGGAATAAGGAAACACAATTCACCAACATCAAACAGGCGCCCGTAATACATTGAGCAATATATTATACGCGTCACAGCTACAGGCAGTGTGTTTGTGAATGTGTGCGTGCGTGCGCGTGCGTGCGTGAGTATTTGGACGTGTAGTAACGAGCGCCAGACGAGGCGTCGGCAGCGGAACAACAACGATGAGACCACCGACGACGGACGCCGCCCGGGGGCGCTGCGCGCGCATCGCTAACGGAGGAGCGCCGAGCGAGTCGAGCCCGACCTTGAACGGAATCACCCGAAGGCGCCGCACTCGCCTCAGCACAGCTAGAGTCCCTTTATATAGAAGTCTATATTAAGGGACTCTAAAACACAATTAAAGCACAGCAGCGCTGACGTCCGCGGCGCGCGGCGTAGTTAACCGATAAACGGGAACCGCTTAGACGTGAATGACGACGACTGGGGGGTGGGAGGGTGGTTGCTGTGGTGAACTACGCTTTCCAGTTCCCAAACAACTGCGTGCGCTGGCGGCGGTGGCAAAGACGTCCTACGCACTAGATCTATCTGTGTAGGCCTGTCTGACAACTACAGCGATGGGCTGGCTACCCACGTAGTGGAGCTGGTGGTGTACATACTAGAAAACCTTGTTATCAAGGATGAGGGATCTTGCCGAGGGTAGAGAGGGCGTCAGTGGCGTCTTGTCTGTGTGTCAGCGTGTGTGCGTGCGTGCGTGCGCACGTGCGTGTGTGTGTATGGTGTGCAACTTGCATGGAAGGTGAAGGGGGTGTAGAGTGTCATGCGACGTTGTGCGTGGGAATCTAGCATCGAGGGTAAATGCCGACTATGTGGAATTTCTCTAGGCTAGACAGCGGTGGGATGGATTATAGATTGCTCTACGCGGACGTGAGAGTAGACGTCAGTGTGGCGTGTACCACATGCACGTCTCTTGAAGCTAAGGAATGTGTTAGCTACACATGTATGATCAATGGCCCCCCCCCCGCGGCAAATATTTGTATTTAATGGACAACGTTATAGCAATGAATTTGGATTTCATTGAGTTTATACGAGGTGTATCGCAGCGGTACTTCATTAAACACCTTGACATTAACCACCAAAGTCGTACAATACGATAATGACACGTACAATTAGGAATGCGTATGGAAATAAATAACAGTTTATTGTTATTGCACACGATAACAGCGTCTCAATACGCTGCGCGTGCGGTGCATGATAGGACAAAGAAGATGCTACTTTGAAATCACGCCGCACCCCCGACACCCACACGCGATTCCCGCTTTACGACTCCGTGACAGATTTAGACTCATTAAACGCCTAATCGGTTTTATGTTTTCCCGCCTGCATGTGAAACTGGTTCGACATTAACCCTAGCATCATAGCTGGACGGGTTTAGTAATGAGTTTAAGATATACCACTGCACTGCACGACTGAAATGGCTGCCTCGATCATACCACTAGGCGTAATAACAAAGCGATACACTATTGTAGTAATGCATTAAATATCAGTCAGCCGTATCAACGAGTGATTTTCATAATCAGGACCTATACACATATATAATACAGCTAATACAAACCTACGTAGAAAGGATTGGAGAGATGCAGAGGTCATTAACATGCAATCACAATATAGAATACGTGGAATTGTGTATAAAAACTTGTTTTTCAATTTTATGTTCGATTCGAATAAGCTCAGATTCAAACAGTAATAGGAAATCTATATTCACTGCAAAGCTCCATCATCCGCAAATGATTATTCCACAAGAGGGAGTTGTAATCTTCGCTTCATAAAGAACGTGCAGCGAATAGAGGCAAACTACTGTATAGCAATAGCTCAGTTCTCCATCCCCGCTTGCTGGCGATCAACCGATTGCAGCGCCACCTGAAATCATAAAAGACAAACAATGGACGCAACAGAGTAGCTAATGCTTTGCTTATCGTGATGTCAAAGATAAACGAGAAAACGATTGCAGCGCCACCTAAAATCATAAAAGAATGAACTGTAATTCATAGTAGATTAGGTTTTTCTCATGACAATGGCAGGGTGAGGGTCAGAGTGCATAGCGTTGGGAGTAACAACAGTGGCCAATGTAATGCTGCAGCCGCAAGTGTAGTGATGTGGTCGCAAGTGTAGTATTGCAGTGGCAAGTGTAATAATGTACAAGCTTGCAGTGACGATAAAGTGCCATGCTCACACATACACAAGAACCGATCGTCAATGGTTCATTGACAACCAATCGACTCCAATCACTTCCTAACCGAGTTCGAACACGCTACGCCACGGATCTTCACTCGCACACCTACCAGCATCCGGGGATGGAATTATCCTCAGCATCCCGTTACCGTGGCGTCCTCGCCGGATCGCTTCGTCACGTGCATCTTGATCACCTCCTCTGCACACGTCGGATGGATGCCGACTACTGACGTGAGCTGCCCCCTGGTGGCACCACACCTGCGCATGGCATTGTATATCACGTGAGTGCAGGTCTGCACGCAGAACGTTTGAACACGGGCGGAAACTGATTTAGCTACACTATAGTTTCCTTTCATCTGAATTTGTGGTTGCTAATATTGGTGACTAGAATGCCATACCCTATGCAAGCACATTTTACATGAAATTCTGGATTGCTGCTGTAACTCTGGCACGAATGCTCCAGCAGTGACACTGCTTCCATGGCCCAAGTGAAAAAGCAACCTAGATAAACTTTATTAATTTAATTAATATTCTCGTCTTCCTCCACACTGTTGCAACTAGTATTGCTCGGAAATTGCCTCAACCATGACAAAATGCATGAAAGAAGCGATTCCAACTGAGAGAGAACCTGTCATAATTAAGCACCCAATCGATTTATGGTTTAGCAACTATTTAAATGAGCAGACAAACAGCAAAGCAGACTCACTTAACAGCAAATCCAAAACCCTGAATGACTTCACCCGCATGTGGACCAAGGAAATGTAGTCCCAATATCTTTTCATCCTGTCTGCTGCACACCATCTGCCAAAAAAGAAAACCGATAGATAATGCCACCAGGTCTGAGAAATTGCTATCTACATAAAATCATCATAATAATTACTCATGAGATGCACGAATACTAATTCAATTACCAACTACTCTGACCTGACCATGTATGTTTAAGCAGAGCTGATGCTCATTAAGATACTTTCTCAGAACAAGAGCATGCTTGCATATCAATTGGGTTGACAAATGCAAACACAAAAACTACAAACACAAGACAATAACATGCAAATAGCATCTGCAGTATCATTCAACGTTACAATGAGAAGCAAAGCATGTTCAGCCGTAAGTAGCATGTTCAGCCGCATGTAAGTGACGGTTATGCCTATGCACCTTAATGTAGCACTGCTGGTGATTTCGCTCTGGTATAATGTACTCCAGTGGTTTATAAAAGGCGTGATACACCTGCAAGAGATAGAGAGACATCATCAGATCACAGAACATAGCTGCAACACTTGTGGAACCTGTACTAACAGTAGTGAGGTAAAATCACTTCCCTCGGCATGTACAAAAATACTACGTGCAATTTTTATATGGAAGATTGAACGGCTATAACCACCTGATAACAACTGTCCTATCATGCAATGCTCTTCCTTACACCTTATCACACATTTGCGCTACCAGAATAACTTTCCCCTGGTAAAACCTCTTACCCTGGCATGTATACATGTAACTTTGCAGACTATTTCTACCTTGGAAGACAAAGTACGCCAATCGTATGAGCGTTGCTAGCGCGACAGTGGCATATACAGACCAGTTTCAGACAGTCATAAATAATTAGGCAGCATAACTGCAGCAGCGTTGAGCAGCAGCCTGATCACCATTATAGATTGGTACATTGTCGCACAATACTGTCCTCACCTCCACATTATCTTCCCCATGTAGCTGCACTGCATTCTCCTCAGATAAGCCCACGCACCCGTACTCCAATGGCGTGAAAACCGTTGTCGGAACCTATGAACGAAAAATTTAAACACTGAATTCATCGCTATCATCATCATCTGCATGAGCACCATCATCATCATCATCATCATCATCATCATCATCTGCATGAGCATTATCATCATCATCATCATCATCGTCATCATCATCATCATCATTATCATCGCCATCATCATCATTTGCATGAGCACCATCATCATCATCATCATCATCATCATCATCATTATCATCCGCATCATCATTATAAAAGTAGTGGGATTTACATCCTTATATCACAAAAGCTGAGTAGGCTGAGTGGCAGCATTCTACTACCCTGTTCTTTGGACGCTCTATACCCTGCTAACAACCTTGTTTATTAATAGCTAACATACCAGATATATACCCTCAACTGAATGTCCAGGAAGGGTAATACTACATTGCCTTCACTCAAGATCAATGACAAGACATGTGATAATAGTGTCTAACATCACAAAGAGCTCTATCACCAGTATCTCGTACAACTCACATTCACATAGTCCATGTGTTCGGTGGCGCCATCGTACAGGCGACGTGCTAGCAGTTTTCCGGCTTTGATTGCGACCGGTGTCAATTCTGGCCGATCCTAGCAAAGAAAGAAAGTCAATATAAGTAAAGCGGAATGATTACAAGTATGTAACAGCGTCACTAGTAGAAACACCGTGACTGCTAACTCATCAGTCAGCGATATTCATGACACAGTCAGCCTCACCAGCTTCAAAAATGACTCTCATTTTATACTAAGTAATCATTTTAATTACTTTATTAATCTTATCTGTCCCATTAATTCAGTACTACAGCATTATTTTTGTAACAACGCTACTCACATTATAATAATCTTAAATGAGTACCTATAAAAATGTTTACAAAGACACAGATGTATACATAACAAACATAGTAAATTCAGAACCTGGCCACCAGTGTAAGGAGGTTATAGAGTGATATTCTAAAGTGTGAATATATGTCTGAAATATGATTGTGCTGCCATATGTGTTCACGTTTCTGTGCAACCTGGGTAAAATTGTCTCCTTATATTTATGTTCCTCGCCTCAGACAGCACAACATCGTATCCCCATCAGCATCATACATTGTACCACAGCATCATCATCCTACATCATCAATATGACCCTAACAGTCATCCTACATCATCACCATGACCCCAACAGTCATCCTACATCATCACCATGACCCTAACAGTCATCCTACATCATCACCATGACCCTAACAGTCATCCTACATCATCGCCATGACCCTAAGAGTCATCCTACTTCATCACCATGACCCTAACAGTCATCCTACATCATCACCATGACCCCAACAGTCATCCTACATCATCACCATGACCCTAACAGTCATCCTACATCATCACCATGACCCCAACAGTCATCCTACATCATCACCATGACCCCAACAGTCATCCTACATCATCACCATGACCCTAACAGTCATCCTACATCATCGCCATGACCCCAACAGTCATCCAGACCTTACACCTACACGAACCCTAACCCAATCCTAATCACATCATGTATATGTATGCGGGTCCTAGAGGAAGATTGCCCTAGGCAACTTCAGTAATATCCTAAGTTTGTCACGCTAGCAGCTGAGCCATAATAATGCATAAAATTATGTCATATAATGTATATATAATATAATATATATTAAGTTATTTCATATTTATAGCATATATATAAATAAGATAGCAGCAGAGCCATACCTGGAGGACATCGCCGATGGCATATATGTTTGGGACGGACGTTCTCTCGCTCTCCTCCTCTGATCCGACAATGAATCCCGTCGATTCGTTCATCTTCACGCCGGCGACATCAAGGTTGAGTGATTTTGTACACGGCTCCCTGCCTGTAGAGCATACACAGTTACTCATCTGGTTAGTGAAAAGCTATCTTTTCATCCAGAAACTATATTCAGAGCAACTATTATTATCAGGAGCAAATAATCAAAAACTGTCATCACAATTTCATCCAGATCAACACAAATTTTATCCAATGTCGTCCACACATTTTCGTCATAAACTATTTTATTATTATCAGTAGTAAATAATCACAAATAATCACATTTTGTGATTATTTACTCCTGTTATTATTCATTCTATCTAATGAAAACAACAAACTATCGAACTGAATAAGGTTGCGTAGCCTTGTCACTCGACTGCAATAGGTGACAAGATCCAGAAATGAACAAGTGGTGTTTGTTCTTCTTCTTCTCGGGTCACTACACTACACTCATCTAGCCACTGCGCACATGGGATCTGCCACGGTAGTTGAAAACCTCAATAACCGTAATAAGGCAGATGGGTCGTTGTCGTATCAGGTACTACAGATATGTACCCGAGGTAGTTTTAGGTTGTTTAGTATTATGTTTATATTTTTATATGAGGTATGGTTCAGGTTGAGTTAGAGTTAGAGTTAGGGTTAGGGTTAGTGTTAGGGTTAGTGTTAGGGTTAGGGTACACTTCTGTATGTACAAGTCTGGTACACTTTGTGTATACATATATGTACTCGGGTACATATCTGTAGTACCTGATACGACAACGACCCTTGAGCCGTAATAAGCTGGTGTTGGTAGCCGTCATTAAGCTTGCTGCTGCTGCGCTATACTCACCGATGGCTAACAGGACTGTTGAGAACTCATCGGAGTCGTCTGCATCCCGGCTGACCCGCGGCCGCGCCGGTCTGGCGCTGCCACGTCACAGCCAGCTCCGCCGAAGCCTGCTTCAAAATCTGCTGGGGAAACGCATCCACGCAGCACCCTCGTGCGCGTGCGACACCATGTTGTCTATGACCAGCTCCGCCATTTGCTACGGGAGCAAAGACGAGCAATGCAAAATGGTGGGAGATGGGATGAGCGCACGCACACATGTAACCACAGAGAAATTCACAACTTCGCAATTTTGTCTACCCCCTTTGGCGCCATTCATCGAGCACTTTCCCTCCACAACTGTGTAGTTTTGGTTCTGTTAAAAGGCTCTGTCCAGCAAAGCTATATATCTCAATCTTACACAGGTGATATTGCTAACCCTCATGCTGGCGAGATAAAACACATTTCTACAGCAGGTGTCAACTGCAATAAATAGGGATTAAAGTACCTTGCCTGGAGGGCACACCAGCAATGACCACAGTGGGATACAAACACCAGACCCTTTCAGTGCAAAGTCAAGTATGATATCCACTAGACTACCAAGTGCCCGCACTTCACAATGAGTGATTCATTAATGCCTCATTAAACAGGTTCATATGATGATTTTTATGCAATCTGTGGCGACATTTTCACAGAAACAAAGCAGACTATTGGGGTAACAATTGACATTAACAATTAACATGAGTATTTTAAGACTTGCTTCGCAAAAGATGATGATGATTAGATAAACTACTGATATGTCGCAGACAAGGTGCTACCTCACCTGGTCAAATCCTCGTAGTGGTATCGACCTCATCATAACAGTGACATCATAGCCAAGTCCCGTTAGAAATCCACGCGCACTCCAGAGCAACATCTAAGCTCACGGTTAGCAACGATAACACTTAATTTGTAACTAAGCCACACCAAAGCTCACTGCCAACTCTCTATAATAGGCTATCTTACAACACATCATAACAAAGGAATGTGTTTGTCACCTATATTACACTATTTCTGTGATAAAAGTAAAGTAAAGGAATCTTTATTTTCGTCGGTACAGGACATACAGCCTTTACAGCGGTAACATGAGCTCTTGAAATAGCTCTTAAATCGATATCAAACAAATGTAACGATAACAAGTAAACTTAGGACATTTTTTGTTACATATCACTATTTCAGACAGATAAACATATACAGATAGAATTCAATGAGGTTTTCTTCATGGTATTTTCTTGAAAAGCATAGCAAGAGCGCTGCACTATTTTTTTAGCAGATTAAAAAAACGTGATACCATAATCGTCAATTAAATAAACATACCAGTAGAGTAAGTGTCATTGAAAGGATACAGCTTGCTCCAACAACTAGCCTGTAAGAGAAAGCCATTGAACATAGAATTATCTGCAGATTGATTGACAAGCGTTAACAATTAAATCGATTCTTCCTCCTTAGAAATCATTCAACATATTTTGTCAGTCAATTTAATCAACATTAATTTATCAATTAGTGAGGTTGCCTAGTAGAAAGTAATTAGTATACTCTTTCCTGGCAATGAAACACTGAGAGCAGAATTGTCCAATTCATACTACGAATTCACTTTTCTGCATCTCTTATATAAATTAGCCCAGCACACGCAACACTAGACAGGATATAGAAGATAAACTTCTATTACATACGTCTTTCCCGTGTGGTTTCTGCAGTGAGAAGAGATCATCGCTGCAGTGTGCATACTCTCGAGCGCCCTCCATCTGGTAACAACGTAGAGACTACGATGACACGTGATTTTCACGTCATCATTAGAGGAATCGGCCAAAAGTTAAAGGATCAGCTCTTTGCGCGCAAATTGATTGTTTATAGATAGCGAAATGGTTTTCTCCCGCTCCGAAACTCGCTGTGAAACTGCTGCGGCCGAAAACTGATAATTTTTGAGTTTCGGTCCACTAGATGGCGGATACCAGCGGTATAACAACACTGGTTTGCGCGCGACTACGTCGCCGCTCCAGCCTACCATTTGCAGCCTACCATGCGCTTGCACCAGCTTGCCCCACATCAGTCTTATCACATCAATTATCACATCATTC